CGGGTATTCTACAGTGGCGTCGGATTAGGGCGCAGACATGTTGGACCACCTGGCCTCAGCCAATCCTGTGTCCCTCTGCGTTCCAATGACCTGCGAGGAAGATCAGCAGCCAAACAAAGAAGGACACGACTTAGAAGCAGTATATAATGTGCAGCGTGGCCAGCGTCCCAGACTCGGATGGAAGGCGCCTGACTCGTGGCTCTGGCTTCTGATTGGTCAATAAAGCCTCTTCTGTTGAACCGGTCTTTTACCTTTTAGGGCTCGGGTATTCTGCATTGGTGGCAGCGGATGCGTTTGAATAACGCCAATCAAACTCCAGCCCTTTCTCTTTTATGGACAACATAGGCAAAGACCCCTAAATGCCAGCTGAATTTGTCATGGCGTTCATCCGATGTCCAACAAAGTGAATCCATACGCATTGCCCGGGAATAGGTCTACTGCATCTGAAGAGGCATTGGCAACTCAGCGACGACGACTTGGACAGTAAAAGCCAGCTGGACCGCATCTGCGACGGACCTTCAATGGATGATGAGTCTTTCCTGCAAGTCTACAAGAGCAAAGTCCCTCGTCAAATATTCGCATGGGTCACTATTCTGCCAGATGTGGGGTGTGGGGAGTGTCGAACCGGATATTTTACTAACACTGGATATCAACAACAGTGCGGTGAACCAAGCCAGAAGCTAAGGACAGCTTCACTGCTGAGGGGGAGGCAGTGTGGCGTCAGATCAGGGCGCAGACATGTTGGACCACCTGGCCGCAGCCAATCTTGTGTCTCTCTGTGTTCCAATGGCATGCGAGGAAGATAAACAGCCAACCAGAGAAGGACACGACTGAGGTGCAGTATATAATGAGCGGCGTGGCCAGCGTAGTGGATTTGGATGGAAGGCGCCTAACGTGTGGCTCTGGCTTCTGATTGGTCAATAAAGGCTGTTCTGTTGTGCCAGTTTTTCCTATTATGGCTCGGGTATTCTACAGTGGCGGCGTGGCAGATAGCAGCCATATTGGTGTTAATCCATTGGTCGAAGGTGAGAGGCATGCCATGTTGGTGACGTCATGTGACTGGGGTTGCAACTTCCGGCTGTGCGGCGTCACGCGGGCATTGAATGACGCGCCAGGGACTGAGAGCCAACTCGCTCACAAGTTTTCCGTCTCCATGGTAGCGCCGCGGAACGGACCAACGGGAGAACAGGACGACGAGGACAGGGATACATAAGGAACATGTTTTCCTTCTTACGCTCGACCTGTTTGTGACTAGATTGTAGTTTGTTTCATCCTTTATTGAAGTACTCCCTATCGTCTTACTCTCTCTTCCTGACCACACAATAGGTCGGAAACGTACAGTGGTGACGGCTTGGGGCGCAGACATGTTGGACCACCTGGCCGCAGCCAATCTTGTGTCCCTCTGTGTTCCAATGGCATGCGAGGAAGATAAACAGCTAACCCGAGAAGGACACAAATGAGGTGCAGTATATAATGAGCGGCGTGGCCAGCGTGGTAGACTCGGATGGAAGGTACCTGACGTGTGGTTCTGGCTTGTGATTGGTAAGTAAAGCCTGATCTATTATACCAGAATTCTTTATAGTAGGGCTCGGGTATTCCACAGATGCAATGAACTAGGGCGCAGACATATTTGACCCCACCGTGCCTCGCAAATCCTCCGTCTATGAGTCCGCAACAGAGGTCTGCTGCCAACCAGAGGCAAAGTTTTACGTGAGGTAGTAAATAAGCAGTGGAACAGCCAGTGTGGCTGAAACTAAAAGGTGGCGCCTTGCGTACGGCTCTGGCTTGGAATTGATCAGAAAATGTTTATCATTTGTGCGTCTTTTATGCTAGGTCTCTGGAGTTCAACAAGAAGTGTAACGAAGCAATAGGACACAAATATATTCTATCACATTAAGCTCTGCCAGTCATCAGTCATTGTCTTTGGAATTTCTTACAATGAAGGTAGGCGAGTAGCGAAAGACATGGATGGATAAGAAGCAAAAGGGCAGAGCAGAAAATATGGATAAATCGGTTAAACGAATATTTTAAGTTAATGCTGTGGTTTGCGTTTCTTATATGTGCAGTACTGCCATAGAGCGCAGTCATATTAGTTCATGCCGATCTCAGTCAAACCGCTGCGTTTGCACATTTAAATGGCCTATGTAAGTGATCACTTGTCATCCAGAGGCAACGATGGATAATAAGTACTATGTAATGAGCAGAGAAACCGGTATAGAAGACTGGGATGGACGGCGCCTGAGAGGCTGCCCTGACTTGTTCGTTTGATTAAGCCTGCTCTGATGTGGCATGTTTCTATCATAGTAGGGCTCAAATATTCTGCATTAAGAGCACGTTTAAAATTGCCAGCGACAATGACAGGGGTTTTAGGAAAGTTCGAAAAATAAAAGCGCTAAAAATAAAAATACGGATGAATTTGATAGGATGGTTAATGCTTATAATGTGTCAATTAACCCTGTCTTCACCACACGACAGACTAGGCATTCTGTAAGTTTCATTAGGAAATTGGTACAAGACCGCTTAATGAGAATAATTGACAGATTTTTTATGCTGTTTCTGTTGTCAACGAAAGACGGACTCTAGACTGTCAGCGTCATTGTCGGTTTAAACTTGCGGCAATAAGACAACATCTGCACGAATCGACTGAGCAGCTTTTTCTTGTTTTCTTCGAACGACATATTACATGTGTTACCAAATTTTAAAGATTAATGGCAAAGAAATAAGCCCATAGAGTGTGAAAAGGTGAACTTCACATTCAGTAATGAGTCATAACCTGCTCAGGATGCAAACACTGAGAATACCACCGAAGAATCTAGTGCATGGTCTAAAGCAGGAAGGTTTCACTGTCTCGTTCAAAGGAAAAGAGCCCACTCCTATTTGCCCCGGGTGACCTTGAGTATGTTGGAGGTATATGGCGCATTGACATTTTAGATTTACAAGTGAGGGCGCTCAGCTGCGCATATGGAACCGCATCACGTGAGTATTAATGTAAATTTAGCGTGACGTGGAGTTTGGTAACAGTGCTAATGCAAAATAGGCACTGCACTTAAGACAATACTGCCTCTGTTTCATTGTCCATAATCAGGACGGCGAAAGTCGAAAATGACTCAGAGAAAAAGATACATACACAATGGTTGTCCTTTTAATGCTAATCACATTGTATCATAATTCGCACAGGCATCGAACGGCTGCTATTTATTCATCTACCGTCATTTTTGAGTATGGACACAAACCTCTAAATACGACGAAAACAAGCTTAAATCATGGATAATGAGACTTGTGGTACACGTATAAATTGTATTTTACAAAAAAAGTTATTTTAAGTTATCAAATTTGGGTAATAATAATGCATACTTGCATTTAGAGAAATTAGAGAGGAACAAGAGTAATAATTAAGGTCTCCCGAAGTTTTTAATTACGTTGCACTCAATTGTGTTCCAATATATTTTTCTGCGTTATGCAGCTCCACATTATTTAATCTAAAGGAAATGTTTTGACTTGAGACGGCAGAATTATCTGTA